GGCACTTTTGGGCAATTTAAAAGATCTTACATAATAATTCAACAAATATGAGTTTGTATTCAACGTACTTCTTATCTTCATTTAAAAATAAAATGCCTCACATGTAGCCCAGCCAAACTGCTTTCCCTACAAGGTAGGTTTGGATTGAGATGTCCACCGAAAGTGTTTGTAAAGCCTAAACATTCTATACATTAATGCATTCTCTGCTTTAAAAGGTACAATAATGTTTAGATAATAGTATCGCCCCTTAACTCCCCCCTTAACTGAGCCCTCACTCGATCAAATGCCCATCTGTAGTGTCTCTTCCCACTCTCAGACTTTGCTGAGACAGTGGGAGCCAATGGCTTCTACTACTGTTAGTCAAATCCATTGACAAGGCAGCGAGGGTGGGCCGAGCTGTGCAGCCTGTGTCTATGGGAGCATTCAGTGTGGCTCGGGAGCGAGCCCACAGGGGTACCACTGAGATGAAGAGAAGCCAGGAGCACTGGAGAGGGACCTGAAAAGAGGGGTTCACGTCCACTCTCTGCAAAAGCATTGTGCAGAGCAGGTAAGTATGATATATTTATTTAAAAAAAAAAAACAAAAAACAAACCACATGACTTTACAAGCACTAAGACAGAGAAGGCCTATAGAATATCCCTGACCAATGCAACTGTAACAGGCCAAGTTAAAAAGTGAACACAACAAACAATTTACTCCTGCGCTAGGAAAGGACTCAGTAGACCCAATAGGAATGTTCTGGAATTTTCTGGAATATGCACTGCTTGCTGCCCTCAACAGACCGGGGTGGTCCAAATACACTGCATACAAATGGAGAAACCGAAAAAGGGCGCACCGACCGAGTGCATTATCGTTTAAAATAATTTATTGAAGAAATAAATAGGTATCATACTCACAATGGACATAACACAGGCATGTCAAACTGAACAAGATGTATGTTCCAAACAACATCTGAGTCCATACGATGGAACCCTGGATGACCAACTTGCTAACGCGTTTCGAGGACACAACCTCTTCCTCAGACTTAAAAAGTGGATCTAAAACCTCCTACTTTGAAGCCAAGGATGCTGCCATCTTAGCCTAAGTATGATCTGCAGTTGCAACAGTGCTGCACATGTGATCCGTTATGCCAGCAGATCTATGATGGCTTGACAGTGACCGTTATTCACGGCATGCCTTTAACCACTTGAGCTTCGGAACACTTTGCCCCTTCATGACCAGGCCATTTTTTCCTATTTAGCATTGGGCTATGTTAACTGGTAATTGTACGGTCATGCAACGTGGTACCCAAACATAAATGTTTATTTTTTTTCACACAAATAGAGCTTTCTTTTGGTGGTATTTGCTCAGCACTGGGTTATTCATTTTTTGCGATATAAATGAAAACAGACTGAAAATTTTGGAAAAACATTTTTATTTTCTGCTATAAAATATCAAATAAAACAAATTTTAATAAAGTTTTTTTTATAAATTTTGACCAAAATGTATTCTGCTATATATACCTTTGGTAAGAAAGAAAAAAAAATCCCAATAATTGTACATTGATTGGTTTGTGTGAAAGTTATAGTGCCTACAAACCATGGGATATATATATTGGATTTTTTTTTTTTAATATAATAGTAATGGCAGTGATCAGCGACTTATGAGACTGCGATAGTATGGCAGGCCTGGACACTGATGCTGAGAAGAACTAACTGCCACTGACCCCCTTCAGTGACTCTAATGGTGATCAGTGCTAATACTATACACCATCAATGTACAAATGACACTGGCTGGATCCTGTATCAAACTTTCAATCCTTTGCTCGGGTTTTTCCAGATGCCTGCAACTTGTCTGAGTGCACAGGTGTGTAAGGGTTGTTATATAGACATGTATGAGAGAAAGCCCAGTGTTCTTGGCTCTCTTGGATTCTGTATCAAACCAAGTTTGGAGACTGAACTTGTCCCACCCGGGTCAGGGGGCCCCAAGTCAGAAGCCAAGAGGCAGGGAGACGGTCTCACCGCGGGGGGCAGAGGTGCCCCAGCCAGAAGCCAGGAGACAGGTGGTCCCAGTTCCAGGAGTCAGGTTGGCTCTTATTATATCATACAGTATTTATATAGCGCCAAAGGGTATGCTCAGCGCTGTACAGTAGCAAGGGGGACATGACATGTGACAAGACAGGAACAATACACTACACAAGGGGTTCGAGGGCCCTGCTCTTTCGAGCTTACAATCTAGGAGGGAGGGGAAGGTGGCACAGGAGGAGATAGCTGTGGGGGATGGAGTGGAGGAGGTTAGTTAGGTGAGGTCAGGTGTTAGGTGAGGTTGGGGTAGGCTTCCCTGAAGAGGAGGGTTTTCAGGGTGCGCCTGAAGGTGAGGAGGGTAGGTGACAGTCTGATGGACTGGGGTAGGGAGTTCCAGAGGATGGGGGAAGTCCTGGAGAAGTCCTGCAATCGGGCGTGGGAGGAGGAGACCAGGGAGCTAGAGAGCAGGAGGTCCTGTGAGGAGCGGAGGGCACGGGTAGGGTAGTATCTGGGTATCAGGTCAGTTATGTAGTTCAGGGCGGCATTGTGAATGGCTTTGTAGGTCAGGTTAGCAGCTTGAACTTGATGCGTTGGGCAATCGGGAGCCAATGAAGGGATTGGCAGAGGGGGGAGGCAGATGTGGAGCGCTTGGTGAGGTGGAGGAGTCTGGACGCTGAATTTAGGATCGACTGGAGTGGGGATCGCGTTCGTTTGGGTAGGCCAGTGAGAAGGGAGTTGCAGTAGTCCAGGCGTGAGATGATGAGGGAGTGTACGAGTTGTTTGGTGGTGTCTGGGGTGAGGAATGTGCGGATCTTGGAGAGGTTGCGGAGGTGGAGCCTGCAAGATCTAGATAGCAGTTGGATGTGCGGTAGGAAGGAGAGGTGGGAGTCCAGGGTGACACCCGGGACTTTGGCGTGTGGGGTGGGAGAGATGGTGGCGTTGTTAGTAGTGATGGAGAGGGGGGGGGGGGGGGGGGGGGGGGGAAGACCAGGAGCTCGGATTTAGATAGGTTAAGTTTGAGGAAATATCAGGGGTGTTAGGCGCACCCAATCCATAGGCCAGAAGCAGGGCGCTGTGACTAAAGAGCCAAGTGTTCCAGGAGAGCTGGACAACGCAGTCAAAGGGACGGTTGTAGCAGCAGTGGCTTGGTATTTTGTTTGTGCATATTTGTATGGAAGACACCCCTGTGTGGGCAACTGATGCACCTGTGAACTTTGCCTTCCTTTAAATTAAAGTGGGCTACCATGCCCTAAAATACAGTTTGGACGCAACTCATTGAAAACGCACCTCCTGATTGAGCTTAAATCACAACAATCCCACACCGGCTTTGCAGGAATGAGAAAGCTTGTTCCCTGTATGGATTGTCAACACAGGACTATGGGCTGTGATTGTACACAGCAGATCCCGGTGAATCATTGGCCGGGACCTGCTGAGACAGACTTGCGCTGTGCACAATCACAGCAGGAGTGGGTGGGCAGGGGCCCACATGGGCCCTAAACCTGTAAACAGGCAGTGATGTACCAGTACATCGCTTTGCCTGCATGGGCCTCCCATCCGCAGTACATTGCTGACAGGAGGTCCAGAGTGGTATTGTAACTGTTCTGAGAAACTGTTTAGTTCTGTTTTAAGCCTCTTCTGTCACCAAATACCTTGAGGACAGTAACTCGCTGAAACCAATCAGCCCTCACTTTACAGTAAGAATGCAGAAAAATGATTGGCTGCTATGGCTGCCTGCACATCACCACTGGCCTATGAGCTTCAAATAAGCACCACAGCCAGTAGAGTACATGTTACGGCAATTCTACATTCTTTACATTCTAGAAAACATTTTATCCCATAAACTGATATTAATACCAACACATTTAATCAGTTTGCTATATCTGTAAGCAGAGGCCTTAGCTTTTTGCTGTACATTATAAACATCAGAAAATTTGCAAAGCGAAAAGTATATCACCAACATATCTCCAGAATGGGTCCAAAGCTTTATTTAGTGATGACATCATAGTTACAAGAGGACGTTTTGGAGCCATCCGGGACCCTTTTATCAGGCATGTGTGAAGGGATGCTGCGTGGCTCCAAAATCTCATCATTATAACTATGATGCGATCGCTAAATAAAGCTTTGAACCTGTTCTGGAGATCCTTGGTGTGCTGGTGACATAATGTTCGCTTTGGATATTTTCAGTTCCCAGCTGGTGGTCGCTGCAGCACCCACTTACATTTACAGCCAATTTCAGGAATGTGTGGATTGGAAATATTGTACTTTCGCAGGCAATTTGGACTCGCAGTCTGCAGTATGTTCCCTGCAGGTGCTCATTAATCAGAGATTCATTTGTGCCTGAAGTGAAAGCTGTGCGAGTGTAACAGGTCTTGGAAAATTGTCAAGGACCAAGTCACTTATCTGTAAGAGGAAAGTCACTTTGTTTTCCTCCCACAGCAAGCGAAGCAAGAGAAGACTTAAAGCGGTATTAAACCCAGAAATGGAGAGACTTATTACCGTATTTTTTCACTCCATAAGACGCACTTTTATCCCCCAAAAAAGGGGGGGAAATGTCAATGCGTCTTATGGAGCGAATATAAAGCGGCCGGTCCGGTATTTCTGCCGCCACCTCGGTCCAGCGCTGCAGTCTTCCCGTGACAGCTGGGTGCCCACTGCGCATGCGTGAGAAGCGCTGCGCTTTGTGAATGGTCCGGTGTCTTCTGGGACACATGACAGGTCCCAGAAGGCTCCAAGCCATTCACAAAGCGCAGAGCTTTTCGCGCGTTCGCAGTGGGCACCCGGATGTCACAGAAGCCGCCGTGGGAAAAAGGAAGGAGAACTCCGCGGAAGTGGGAGCGGGTACCTGTCAAATTCAGGTACCAGCTCCCCCTCCCTCTGGGCGGGGGGGGGGGGCCCAAAAGGTCCACAGTCTCTGGTAATCTCCTTTACTGTCCACAGTCTCTGGTCATCTGTACTACGTCCGCAGCCTCTGGTCATTCCCTGCACTGTGTCCGCAGTCTCTGGTCATCTCCTGCACTGTGTCCGCAGTCTCTGGTCATACCCTGTACTGTGTCCGCAGTCTCTGGTCATCTCCTGTACTGTGTCCGCAGTCTCTGGTCATTTCCTGTACTATGTCCGCAGTCTCTGGTCATCCCCTGTAATGTCTGCAGTCTCTGGTCATCCCCTGTACTGTCTGCAGTCTCTGGTCATCTCCTGCACTGTGTCCGCAGTCTCTGGTCATCCCTGTACTGTCGCAGTCTCTGGTCATCTCCTGCACTGTGTCCGCAGTCTCTGGTCATCTCCTGCACTGTGTCCGCAGTCTCTGGTCATCTCCTGCACTGTGTCCGCAGTCCTGGTCATCCCCTGTACTGGTTCATTGGTTCAGAATATTTTTTTTCTTGTTTTTCTCCTCCAAAACCTAGGCGCGTCTTATGGTCAGGTGCATCTTATGGAGCAAAAAATACGGTACTCTGTCTACTCTATGGGTTCCAATGTGACGCCTCTTCGGTGTATGTTCACAATGTGCCTGCTGCTGGAAGGCTTACTCATGTATGATTTTGTACACGAATGTTTATTTAGCCATGTGTTGGTTTTTGTATAATTGAAAACTTTTTCTTAATAAAAACTATTTTCCAGAAAAAAAAAAATATATATTACAGCTTACCAATAATTCAATATGATGGCTGCATTTGTATTTTTTTTCCCCACTCTGTTCTTACCTCGTGATCTGGACAGTAACACACCACCTGTATTAGAGTGGGAGGGGAATGTTAGGCTGGCCATACATTATACTTATTACAATTTTCTTGAGATTTTTGGTTTAGATTTAACCAAAAACCATATAATATGAGGTCAAACCGAACACTTTCAATTGTATCCAATTAGGCAGGCCCTTGCACTACATAGTTGAAGGTAAATCTAAAGGAAATTGGGCAAAAATTGGACAGAAAATTGTATAGTGTATGGCCAACCTTAGATGTAAAAAGAGGGAAGGGGAGTATTCGATGTACTAGCAGATTTAGATACATTAGCAGTTATACCAGCAGTTACAGCAACAGTTTGTTTGGGGATAAAAATTTTACATAAATGGAAAAGCTGACCCTTGTAAGCACCCATCAGTAATAAACGGTTTGATTCAACACTCCAGTACATCTGCAGGAAAGTTCTGTTTCTGTTAATAAAGCACAGACTTACTGGCAGGATCACCATGTAAAAATATAGGAAAGAGATCTAAGAATTGGTAAGCTGCAATATAAAAATAAAAAATGTTGTTTACTTTTCTGTTTACTAATGCTTTAACCAGTACTGAATAAACCAGACAGCCTGAAAACTAAGAAACCACAGGTCTCGGTGTGCACTTCTGTTCCTTAGCAGATTCATGGTGCCAAACCTCTGGAGAAATTCCAAAAATTAATTGATGGCCAACCCTGAATGACCCAAAGCTGCCCGATCATTATGGAAGCACCCTGTAGAATGTTGAGGTTTATAGGAGACCTGAACCTACTCCACCCCTAACCATGTTGAAATGTAATGGATTGTAGAGATGTAATGGATTGTAGAGAAGTTGATGACCTAGATACTCCTTTCACACAAATATGTCAATGGGCCGGTCTAAAGCTGGCCTTGCATTTCCATTTCAACAGTCTTCGTACAAACTCCTTTATATTTACCAAATGTTAATATTAGGCCTAGTTCACACAGGCGTACTTAAGTATATGCCAGTGTCAGGGCCATGTTTGCCCACATGGGATTCACAGGAGTTCCTGCGCAGACAGTCCTATTCATGTCAATTAGGACACAGCCACTGCTTCCAATTTGACATCTGTGTGAGTGCATGCCCCGAACTCACAGTCTATGTTTGGGGACACAAACCTACATGGATGTCAAATTGGGAGCAGCAACTGTCTGTGTTGTTGCTGCATCCCAACTGAAATGAACTGGGCTGCCTGCATGTGGATGCACAGGAACACCTGTGAATCCTGAGTGGGCAAACATGGCCTCACACATGTGTGCACTTAAATACGCTCACGTGAACAAGGCCCAAGGGCCTGCCTAAACAATCTATTTAATAGATTTCCAATCAGACAGATTCTTTAACCACATAGATGTTGGAAGAGCTAAAAGGAGATTGTACTATGTGCAATGAACTTCAGGCATTCCCACTCAACCAGTGCGGCTGGGAGTGTCGTTCGTGATTAGTCTTGGAAATCAAGCAGCCAGAAGGCTCAATTTACAACTCTAACAAGTATAACAATCTTTAATTTTTTCCATGTGATGTCATTTTCAAGTTTTGTAACACTAAAGTTACTTTTTTTTTTTTTTTTTTTTTTTTTTTTTTTAAATAAAACATCCTTATATTGGTGTATTAGTTTTGTATTTTAGGTCCGGTTCACACATATTGCTGTGCATTTTTCTGCACCGGAAGAACACAGGTCACCGGAAGAACACACAGAAAACAATTCTTTTCTATGTGGCCTGCTCACACCAAAATGGTGATGTCATGTGCTGTGCATTGCGTTAAAATGCTACAAGTATGCATCTTAACGCATAACAACTAAATCAAACCGCGCAAGTGCATTAATCATAAAAGTAAAGCAGCAAACACTCTAAGGGGATTTCCTCTCAATATCAAAAGTGATTTTTTTTTTTTATAACTGATGTTGCGCTAAGTGATCTCAAATTAGTATGTAAATTATTAGTATGAAATATACAATTGTACAATAGCGCTCTAAAATAGCCCCATAACCAAAGAATAAAGTGCACAATAATGGTCAAAGTGTAAAATAGCAATCATATAGGTGACAGTCCAAATGAAAAATGTGAAACAGTCCCCTTTCCCCTTCACCACAAATTTGTGTCACAGCGGTGACGTTGGTGGACACATACACAGCTTTGAACGAAGATTATTCACATAAGGAAGGAAAAGGAGACCGTTTCACATATTTTGGGGGGGGGGGGGGGGGGGGGGGGGGGGGGGGGGGGGGGGGGGGGGGGGGGGGGGTGTGTGTGGGTGGGGTGGGGTGGGTGGGGTGGGGGGTGTGTGGGGGGTGGCATATCCAACTGCTATTTTATACTTTGACCATTATTGTGCACTTTATTCTTTGGTTATTTGGCTATTTTAGAGCATTATTATTTATTTTTAAATTGGATATTTATTACTAATAATTTAAATACTTATTTGTGATCACTTAGCACAACACCAGTTCTTTAAAAAAAAAAAAAAAAAAAAATGCTTTTTTTTTTTTTTTTTTAAACACAACGCAAATTTATTAAGGAAAAAGAACAACCTTGATAAATTTTGTCCCATAGCGATTCAACTCACATTAAACACTCATCTCATCGACCCATATAAAAATGCACGTCAATGAAAGGCAAAACACATCCGTTTTTCAAGCATTTTAAAGCATGTTTATGTGTGAACAGGCCCGCAAGCCTACTGCCTCTCCTCTTACAGTCTACAGCCAAACTCCAGCTAACTTTAATTTTAAGTTTACATAAGCGTTCCAGATTTTCCTTGCCATCGGGCGTAACTGCTGCCTCCTCCTAGTCAGGAAGGGAGGGACGCATTCCCAACAAGTGCTTAATGGGTGGCATGAATAATGAGCATGAATGGCATTCTTAGGCCTGGCTACACACAGCTTGAACTTCAGCTCATTGCCCTGCCAACACCATTTGTGTCAAAAAACTTCTATTGGGAAATCGCATGAGCTGGGTGGAAAAAAAATTCAGCAGAACTGTGACTGTAGACAAGCAGCTGCAGTGATTGTTCAGCCATTCTGACAGACAAAAAATTTACTCTGAACACAAAATGTTTTATATGTCTTGCTAGAGTACACCTAAAGCTGGCCATGGAAGTAAAATCCATAGAGTCTCCTTCCATATCAAACATCATGGACTGGGATATCTCCCACTGCCGGCTACTGTACTTTAACAGGTGACTGTGTTAAAAAAAAAAAAAAAAAAAAAAAAAAAAAAGTACAGTAGCTGGCGGTGGGAGATTTCCCAGCTCATGCCGTTTGACATGGAAAGGGGAATCTATGGATTTTACCTCCATGGACAGTTTTAGGCGTACTCTAGCAAGACATAAAACATTTTGCATTCAGAGTAAAACGTGTCCCAAGCCTCTGAATCTCTATTGGGAAGGGAAAGAAAGCACTGAGGTTCTAGTACTGTGAGCAAATCATGCTGTACTGCACAGGGTTACCACTAGGAGACCTGCTGGCAGAGACGGAAGTGATGACCTCATCTTTGTGCTGCTTCTTCACTGTCCAATCAGCATGTTCGGGATGGCTCGCTGATCAGCCACACTGCTTACTCGCAGTGGGGCCAGGTTATGTTTCTGAGGTAGAGGTTTTTGGATCACAGGACAGGTCAAGTAGAAGTACAAATACTTTAGCAGATAAAATATTATAAATGTATTTCAATTGTAGATTTCTTGTAAAAAATATAATTCCATATGATCAAATAAAAAAGTACTGACACTCACCTCACTGAGGTAAATAAAAAATGAACAGGTGGAGCCATCGACCCCATAATTGGAGTAGCAAACATCAGAGCGCCACATGTCCTTCATCCACTGCCGTGAGAAAAGAGATCATTATCAGTGACCACTCGTGTAACCATTATCAGACGAATGTTTCACAAAAGTTCGCTCTTCACCACCGACTAAATATGTCAATTCCCTTATTTATAATACAGGGACCTGGGGTACACTTTATAGGAGATACAGGCTGTGCTTACCTTTATTTTACCCTCGCAGTGAGGATAGCCATCCATGGGAGGCAGTTCACATTGTTCCTGGGCGCCATTAATGAGATCTTAAAAAGAAAAAAAGACCCCAGTGTTACATATTGCATTATAGTAATAGATTGCACCTTGCATTTAAATATCAATAGAAAGCATGAATATTAAACGAATTGTAGTGAATGTGTAGGTGGGTACACTAGGCCTTGTACATGTTGAATGTGTCTGATAGTCTTAGTCCACACACCACTGCAAGTAGGGCTTAACCTCCCTGGCGGTATGATTATTTCAGATTTTTGGTGCTGAAAGCGGTACCATTATTTTGCATGGAAATATGTAGTTTTTTATTGTAGGCTGTAATATTTAGGAATAACTCACTGAAATCTGTCCGAACAAGAGTCTAGTAAACATCCCGGGTATGATAAAATTTGTAACACAAAATCATAAATTAGAATTTAATAAATAATCATAAAAAAAATAATATAATAATAAATTTAATTCAATAATATAATCAAACCAAAAACACTGAAATTTGAAATATAGCGCCAAGTTCGCACATCGCTGAGCAAAGTCACAAAATCGTTTTCAGTGTCTGATGATGAATTTCCCCCACGAATCATTATCACTCAATT